TAGCACCTTGGCGGACCGCCTTTAACACAAAGAGCTTTCCTTCCTTGTGGGTCTTAGGAATGGACTTGGGTTCCCATCAGTCTGAAACAGAGGAAGCCAAGTTAAACTGCAAAGAACTGAGCCAGCGAAGAAGCATGCTTGTTTATCATTACCTGCAAACACACGGAAACGCACAGTGCCCTTGGCCTTAAGGCATCGCCCGCCATCTGGCTCCGAGTTGTGGCTTGTGCAGGCAGGCCTCAGTCAGGACCTTTCCTCTGGGGAGGGGGAAGGTTGTGGAGTTTATCTCAGGAAACTCTGAGTCATAGCTTACACTTCAGGTGACACTTGAGGAATTTAGTGAGGCAGAGTTTAGACAGGTCCCGAGAGGTATCTTTTGGAAGACAAAGGAGGAAAACAATGTGTCTTCACCAAAGTGGTAATTTTTGCAGCCACTTGGTAGTGTATGTGGGGCCTTATTTCTCCTTCCTGATTATGTCAGCCGTGCTTGGGACCACTGGTAGGTTTGGGGTCCATCCGTGGCCCCAGACTGTGGCTAGCTCAGTCTGTCCAGCATCGTCAATGTGGTGGGCCCAGCCACTTGGTCTTCTTCCCCCCCCCCCCCCCCCCCCCCGCCCCTCAATCAATCCCATCAGTGTCCCAGCATAAGGCTTTTTGTCTTGCGTTTACTCCAAGATGGGTCAAAGGACCTGGAGTTGTAGAACTCAGGAATGCATAACAGCATACACACATCCAAGAAATGACGTGGCATCCCATGTCCTAGAGGCTGTCCATTTCTTTTTTTTTTAGTTTCATTTTATTTTTAAATTTATATCCAAGTTAGTGAGCATATAGCGCAACAGTGATTTCAGGAGTAGATTCCTTAATGCCCCCTACCCATTTAGCCCATCCCCCCTCCCACAACCCCTCCAGGAACCCTCTGTTTGTTCTCCATATTGAAGAGTCTCTTATGTCTTGTCCCCCTCCCTGTTTTTATATTATTTTTGCTTCCCTTCCCTTGTGTTCATCTGTTCTGTCTTAAAGTCCTCATATGAGTGAAGTCATATGATATTTGTCTTTCTCTGACTAATTTCGATTAGCACAATACCCTCATGAGTGAAGTCATATGATATTTCTCTTTCTCTAATTTCGCTTAGTACAATACCCTCTAGTTCCATCCACGTAGTTGCAAATGGCAAGATTGCATTCTTTTTGATTGCTGAGTAATACTCTGTTGTATATATACCACATCCTCTTTATCCATTCATCCATCGATGGACATTTGGGCTCTATCCATACTTTGGCTATTGTTGATAGTGCTTCTGTAAACTTTGGGGTGCATGTGCTCCTTCGAAATGAGGCTGTCCCTTTCTTTTTTTTTTTAATTTTTTTTTAGCATTTATTTATTTTTTGAGAGGCAGAGAGAGACAGTATGAGCGGGGAAAGGACAGAGAGAGAGGGAGGCACAGAATCTGAAGCAGGCTCCAGGCTCTGAGCTGTCAGCACAGAGCCTGACGCAGGGCTCGAACCCATGAACTGTGAGATCATAACCTGACCCGAAGTCGGACACTTAACTGACTGAGCCACCCAGGTGCCCCGAGGCTGTCCATTTCTAAGTCCCTCCAACCTGGCAGAGGGATGGCCGAGGAGTTCTAAGATTGCAGCTAGGAGGAGGACCCGTGGATCCCAATACCCAGTCCCCTGTGCCCTCTGGGAGTTGCTGATGCATGTTTCTGAGGACACTCAGAGAATCTGGAAATATGTTATGTCAGTGAGGACATTTTGGGTTTTGAGTGAGAAGTCCAACTTGGATTAGTTAAGCAGAAAAAGGAATTTATTGGTTCACATCCCTAGGAAGTCCAGGGGTGGGTAAGACCTCAAGAGGGGCTCAATCTGGGGGCTCTGCCTCCCTTTCTCAGCACAGTGTTCCTTTGTTTGATGGCCTCTCTCTCAACTTCTTTAACATTCTGGGGAATTAGCTCCTATCGGTCACATACGTTCCCTTGGACCAGCCACTGTGTCTCAGGGTGGAATGCGGCAATGTGATTTGCTGGGGCCTGGAGCGTTGTAACCCACAGCCCACCTAGGACCACACAAAGGGGGAAAGAAGGCGTTCCCCCAACGAAACGATGCTGGACATGCTAAGGCAGCACGAATCTGCATGCAGATCCTTTGTATGGACAGAAAGATCAAGAAGCCAAGCCCTACTAAGAGATCCATTAGCCAATAGTAATATTAATCACAATTGCAGTTTTGCTTCCTTAAATTCCACCACAGGCCTAATGAAAAGGCTCTGGATTCTTGTGCAAATCATTTGAGGAACTCTCTACTAATTCAAAGAGGATCTAAGAACTGTATTCTATTGACAAATGTCTCTATAAACAGGAACCCGAGTTGTAATAAATACAATAAGGAAAACACCCTGTGTTCAATACCGGATGCTGAAAAGGGAACACACTGTCTAATAATGCAAAGGACAGGCCGTTGCATTTAGGACCAACAGTCCCGAAATTATTCCTGGAAACCCCGCAAGGTCTACATAATTATTTGCAAGGCTCCCTTAATGCAAGTGATCTGCTTTCTATGTAAATGCTAATCATATAAAACACATGCCCTGAAACACAACAAACTGAAACGAAATGGAATTTCAAGAAACCAAGGACCTAAAATAGCTATAAACAAAAACTAGTAAGGTGTGACCGGAGACAGTGGGATGTTCCGGCCTGAGTGACAACAGTCTGTGACATGGAGAAGGAAGCCAATTGTGTGACGGGATGATTTCCCAGATTTTTTAAAGTTTATTTAGTTTGAGAGAGAATGGAGAGAGAGAGCAAGTGGGGAGGGGCAGAGAGAGAGGGAGACAGAGAATCCCAAGTAGGCTCCAGGCCTTCAGCAAGGAGCCTGATGTGGGGCTTGATCCCACGACCACGAGATCATGACTTGAGCTGAAATCAAGAGCCAGACGTTTAACCCACTGAGCCACCCAAGTGCCCTGATTTACCAATTTAAAGGTGGCTTTTATATCTAAAATAAAGGTGCCATAGGCCTGGCAGCCACACCCCCACACAATTCTGAGGTCTAGAAGAAAACCCAAGGCTCTGTGGTGGGGTGGTCTGGAAAGGGCACCTTTCCAAATGTTCAAGTTCTCCTCCAGGCTTGCTGGCCGTGAACGTGACCGTCACTTCTCATCTTAGAGCCTCCACTGCCTCATCGGCGAAGTGGCAAGAATACTGACCTAGGTTGTTGTTTTGCAGATGAAACAAGCAATCCGTACGGGCCTAGCCCAGGAGTCAGCACACTTCCGTGAAGGGTGAAGAGTAAATATCTGGGACTTCGTGTGCCAGTCTCTGTGACAGCTACTCAGCTCTGCCTCCTAGTGGAAGCTGCCTGGGCAATGTGGCCAGGGTGGGTGTGGCTGTGTACCAGTAAAAGTTTGTTCACAAAATAAAGGTGGCTTTCGACTGAGACCTTCGGGCCCCAGTTTGCTGACCTCTGGTCCACTAATTGTTCCTCCCTCCTGGTCCTGTTAATCCTCTTGCCCCTGGTCAGAGAACATCCTTCTGTGGACTCCGTTGTGCCCCCACCAAATTCACAAGTTGAAGCCTTAACCTCAGATGTGACTCTTCTTGGAGATGGGGCCTTTGAGGAGGTCATTACAGTTAAATGAAGCCCTAAGAGTGGGGCGTTAATCTGATGGGCTGATGTCATTATCAGAGGAAGAGACACCAGAGCTCTCTCTCCCCGCTATATGAGGACACGGTGCGGCAGCAACGCTGATGGCACCTTGACCTCAGACTCCCAGCCTTCAGAACTGTGGGAAAAGAAGTATCTGTTGTTTAAGCCACCCCACGTGTGGTGTTTTGTTATGGCGGCCCCAGTAGACTAATACAGTGACCCATTAATTAACTTATCAATGCTGTGGCTGCCTTACATTTCCTTCTTCTCTTTCCCCCTCCCTCCTCCTTTCTTCCTCCTCCTTTCCTCCCCTCCCTCCTTCCTTTCCATAAGTGTTTATGTCTCTCAAATGGAGCTAGAAACATCTGCCCTGCTTATCTAATAAAATTTGCGTGAGGCTTAAATTAAATAGAAAACATAAGGTACAATATAGCACAAGCTATCACTAAGGTATTTCCGTTTAAGGTCTATCACCTGTAGTTGCAAATGCAAACTACTACGTGGGACAGCAAATCTGGTCCCAGATGCCCTTCCCTCCTGCCCCCCACACGAGGTGACTTGGGCGATGGAGTGGTGTCTGTGTTTATCTGCTTGGGCGCTCTCCTTTTTTGAGCAGTAGGGGAGTTATAAGGAAGCTAGGAGGAGAAAACCTGTATGAGAGGATTCTGGTTCTAGTCCAAACAGAGTGTTTTCCCTCCATTCTTTGACGGTCAGTGGTATCGCGTCCTTCATTCAGTAAATACAGATACAGTTTCTACTCTATGTCAGGTGCTGTGCTGGGTACGGTGGCTACAGAAAGGAGAAATCAGATAAAGGCTTGGGCCGCGTGTGTGCGCGCATGTGCGTGTATGCACGCCGGCAGAAGGGGAGAGGAGGTTGGGCTCAGAACAGAGAACCATTGAATGAAGAAAATAATTACAGGCTCGGAACAACATCAAAAAAGAAAGCCAACTGGGCCACACGGCAGAAGTTACAGGCATGGGTGTGCTGGAGACAAGTTGTGCTTTAATTTGCATTTCCTGGGTAACTAATGGCGTGGGACACTATTTCACGTACTTACTTGCTTCTCAAGCCCAATCCCCAAGGCTTTCCAGCTCCTAGTATCTCCTGCAAATGTTGAATCAAGATGGTGGTCTTCTTGTTGGGATCATTCCTCATATACGGTTCGCAGTAATCGTCACAGCTCTTATTAACATGTGCTTCTGGCCTGGGCACTACTCTGCTAGGCATTTTTTGGTACATTTGTCACAAGCAATGAACCAACTTTGATACATTGATATTAACTAAGATCCATTCTTTACTTGAATTTCATTAGTTTTTACCTTAATGTTCTTTTTCTGTTCCAGGATCGCTTCCAGGATGCCACATTACTGGCTGTGACGGTTTCTCAGACTTTCCTTAGTTTTGATGACCTTGACAGTTTTGAGGAGCACTGGTCAGGTATGTTGTAGAACACTCCCGAACTGGGATTTGTCTGATGCGATGCATTATTTCTTATTCTTACAGCTAATCTTCAGTGTTAATAGAAATTATCGATTTCATTATTACAGATGAAAGCACTGAGGCCCAGAGAGGTTAAGGAACTTCCCTAAAGTTGCACAGCTAGCAGATGACAGAAACAATGATTCAAACTCAAGATTGACATGAATTACGCCATGCATTTACTCTGCCCTCCCCCTGCCTCAGCCCCAATCTGCTGAATTCCTGACAACAAAAGAGTTCCCTTCAAGGCTGTCAGGGTGATTTCTTTTGCAGTTGTTCCCCTCACATAGTTTTAAACAATTTACTGATGTGTTTAATTAAATTAGAGCAATTTCCCCTATCGGTTATTTGCGGAACTGATTACTCGTGTAGCTTCAGTGGCTGTCTTCTTGGGGCACTTGGTTAATTCAGAGAGAACATGGCCAACCAGTCTTCAAGAACCTGTATTTCCAGTGGCTCTCAAACTGTGCTCACCTGGGGTCCACAAGCATCACCTGGGCTGCTCGTTAAACCTGCACTTCCCTGGGGTAGGTTGATCGACTGTCCCAGAACTGACCAGCTCCCAGGATGCGGGACCTTCTGTGCTCAAACCGAAACTGGGACTGTCCCAGGCAAACCAGGGCGGTCGGTCACCCTAGCGCCGAGCTCCTGTGAATTGCTTTTAAACAAACTACCCGGGAGAGGGCCCTAAACATACAGAAGCCGGAGAGCCGCTACATCAGATATGGGAGAGAATTCCTGGAAGAACTGGTGGCGGGTTTCTAGAGACACTGAGAAAACACTGATTTTCATCCGGGTATGTTTGATTCTGCCTGAAGTTGAGAGAAAAAAACAATCACCCAGCCTTCAGCCCAGATGACATCAGTGGGGATTGTTGTTCACTCTTTGGGTAAGAACTCGACAGTTTTGTTGAGGGATGATGGGAGCTCCCAAAAGATATCAGGTCCTTCCGAGGCCATTATTTACCACGTGGACTTTAAGATCACATGACAGTTAACGCAGTGTATCTGAAGTTTTATCTTTTTAACGTCTCTTTACCAAAATGATCAATTACACGTTTTACACACATTCGTTTTCGTTCCAAGTCTTTGAAATCTGTGTGCATTTTATACTTAGAGTACTTCACAGCTCAGCTGCTCAGTTTTTATCAGAAATACTTGATCCGTATTTAGAGTGACGCGACTGAGTTGTTCCGAACATGTTTAACCTAAGAGTAGTCCAACAGCTGAATCGGGTCTTATTTTCTCAGTTTTCATTTTAATTGTAACCAAAACGAGGAACGCAGTTTGTCAGGCTCACTAATCACATCCCAGTTACCGAATAGACACGGGTGGCTGGCAGCGTTGGAGATGGATGGCCCGGCTGCAGGGCAGTGCTTCTCAGACTTTAATGGGGGCATCAGATCACCCGGCAGTCTGCTTAAAAGCTAGGTTCTGATTCGGGAGATCTGGGGTGGAGCCTAGGAGTCCACCTTTTGAACAAGTTCCCATGTGACGCCGATGCTGCCGGTCTAGGGACCACATTTTGAGTAGCGGGGGACTGCAGTGACCTTGAAGGAGGGCTACCTCAGTTTTGATTTCTCTACTTGCTCAGTGGTGTTCTTTCATTTTAAAGGCTAGCAGATGTGCATGTGATCGTGTGAATATATATAAAACACACATATGTATATCCATACATGCATGTGTATGTGTATGTAGCTGAATATGTGCGTGTGTCTCAACTTGTGTAGATACGTAAGCTCTGCAAATACAGAGAACACTTCATGACTAGAGGTGTTCTGTGTCTTCACTTTTTATTTACTCTTGAGAGAGAGAGAGAGAGAGAGAGAGAGAAAGAGAGCGAGCAGGGGAGGGGCAGAGAGCGAGGGAGACAAAGAATCCGAAGCAGGCTCAGAACTGTCAGCACAGAGCCTCACACAGGGCTTGAACTCCCCAACTGCGAGATCACGACCTGAGCCGAAATCCAGAGTCAGACGCGTAACCGACTGGGCCACCCAGGCGCCCCTTCTTCACTTCATTTTAAATTCAACTTACTCTTCTTTGGTCCCTGGAACTGAACAGCAGCTGAATGTTGAATCTGGATTTAAGTCTCTATATGTGTTTGTTTGCTTTTTCAAATGCGTGCAGTAGGTTCCTTCATTGTATTTCAATGTTTGAAGGTATTTAAAAAGTATTTGATGGCCCCCCCTCTCTGTGGTTTTGTGAACTGCGCAGAGTAACCTCCAGTCCCATCTGGTTCCCTTGTACTTGTGTGGGGAAATTTTTTGCCCCATTATTTGTGTTTCTATAGACGCTTTTTCATTCTTCTTTAGACATCGGTATGGAAAGGTTGTGAATTACTTCTAATTACGCCAGCATCTACTCAACTATTCAATTCACTTGGTTCCTCTGATCCAAAGCTGGTTTAACTCCTATGCCAGGTTCTGAGAAACAAACACCGCCTCTCCCCGCCCCCCAAATTCAAAAAACAAAAACTAAAATTGACAGAGTTCTCTTTGTCAGGATTTATGAGAAAGTTATAGGGGCATAAATAGCCACCAAAATCATAGTGAAATTGGAGAAATTGGTCATGCTCCTTTTATTATTCTTCAGTTTCTCTTAGGGGACAAGCTTTCCATGGGAAAACACCATTATTTTTGGCAGTTACTGGAATCCGACAAAGGAAGACATGGAGACTTTTCGAGAAAAAACAGGGACTAACCCAGCCTTCCACTAAAGTGGAAGGAAATAAAATGAGGGATAACAATTAGGTATATCAAAGCAGGATGGAGGGTAAAGATGTTAATTTTTACTTTAATCTCAATTGTAATTGTATTATCTGTTATTGGCTCTGTGTGGTGGAAACAATTGCGTATCTTTTTCTTTATGGGACACAATCCTTACTCTGTGTACAGTTATAGATTCCAGTGATTATAAGATCTGGCACCATCCATGAAAATGGCCGCTAATTCAAAAGCTTCGTTCATTGGGCTGCTCAGCATGAATAGCCTCTTAATTTTCTTTCATTTGTTTTAGCTGCATAGGTGTCTCTGGGTGAAGTTTGGATATGCTACATTTTTTTATTTCCTGTGGATCACGTTGCATTTAATAATAGCTAATAATAGGGGCACCCGGGTGGCTCAGTTGGTTAAGCAACTGGCTCTTGATGTCGGCTCAGGTCACAGTTCACGAGATGGAGCCCTGTGTCAGGCTCTGCGCTGTCGTTCATGCGCGATCTCTCTCATAATAAACAAACATTAAAAAATAATAGCTAATAAGAATAGCTAACATTCATTAACTGCTCTTTTAAAAAGTTTATTTTGAGAGAGAGAGCGTGCGAAGTTGGGGTGGGGCAGAGAGAGAGGGAGAAAGAGAATCCCCAGCAGGCTCTGCATTTTCAGCATGGAGCCCGACATGGGGCTTGAACTCACAGACTGTGAGATGAGGACCGGAGCTGAAATCAAGAGCTGGATGCTTAACCGACTGAGCCACCCAGGCGCCACATTAACTGCTTAATATATGTCAGGGCCCTATTAATTACTTTATTTGCTTTATTTTATTTAATTCTCATAACAACTTCATAACATAGGTACTGTTAGTATAATTTTTAAAGAACTAAAAACATAATCTTGTAAAAACACAGAACGAACACCTGTCAAGAATTTATTCAACTCATTAACGAGAAGACCATAAGAGGGTTCAACTGATTCCAAAAGTATTTTGAGGAACTTGGTATTTGTAGGCATTTTGAGGGGAAAAAAAAGTGTTAGAATAAGATTTCCAGGATAGATTCAAAACTGATTAATAGGGCACTTAAAGCCAGAACCTTTGCGGTTATCTTTTCAATTGGACAGAAATCTATGAATTAACATACAGCATCTGAATTCTAACCAAATAAAAAATAGACAGTCAAACAAGTGCATTCCCTAGGTAATGATGTAACTCTTAGGTCGGTAGGTGAGTGCCCTAGGGAGATTTTGAAAGGTCACACCTCGGGCCATTTCACCTCATTCAAAGTTGGGACGTGTTCTTAACAAAGCTATACTTATTTTAACAATGAGGATGCTTAGAGATGTTAACTTAGGTGATAAAGGAGTCTTTGCAGCGACTGAGCAAAACTGGAGCCCTGTGCTTCTGACACTTCAGCCTAGTCTCTTAAACTAGGTGAAATCCATTTTGATCTGGTTTATAAAATTCTCTTTCTCTTTCTCTGTCTCCCTGTGTGTGTGTGTGTGTGTGTGTGTGTGTGTGTGTGTGTATGTACATGTACGTGTGGCAGGTGAAAGGATTTGGAAACCGGTATTCTTTTTTTTTTTTTTTTTTAATTCTTACAATGTTTATTTCTAAGAGAGACAGAGCGTGAGCAGGGGAGGGGCAGAGAGAGAGGGAGACAGAGTCTGAAGTAGGTTCCAGGCTCTGGGCTGGCGGTACAGAGCCCGACCCAGGACTTGAACCCACGAACCATGAGATCATGATCCGAAATGAAGTCGGATGCTTAACTGACTGAGCCCCTGGAAACTGGTATTCTAACCTGGATGTTTTGGGGGCTGTTACTGACAAAGCTTATTCAGATGGTGACAACATTTTGACCATGTTTTCCTTTTTTTTTTTTTTTAAAGAAAAATCTCATCCCTTGCCTATTAAACATCCATCATTAAAAGAGAAGTCTAGTCTACTGGTTGCTTAGGAATGGGGGGTAGGGTTTGCACTGAACCATCACACACATTATCCTTGCCCTTGACCACCAGCACATATTTGAAAACTAGCTGGCCAGGGGGTTAGACTTTGAAGTTCTGAAACAGACTTTTCCTTGGTACAAAGCAAAATGTGTTCATGCAGAGTCTAAATCCACGAACCCCAGTCTGTAATCAGCTCAGCTACCCAGCTTCAATGCAAGAGAGTTAATACATGCCTTTTAGGTGTAATTTGCATGAAAGATAGTCTAAAATCTATTGGGTTTCAGAGAGAGGGAGAGAGAGA